CCCGACACCAACCGCCCAAGGGCGGCCGAGGCCGCCTCCGAAAGGCCTACGTCGTGTATCTGCCGGATACGCCGCAAATCAGGGCGAAGCTGAGGGCGTGTGAGTAATTCGCCGAGGGTGATACCGGTACGGCTGTAACGAAGCCAGCCGTACTGTAGCTGCTCGAGAGGGAGAGGAGCAGAGCGCTCTAGAGGTGAGCCGAACCATCTGGTGGTTGACAACACGAGACCCGCCTCGCGTGATCCGTCGACACGGACCCCCTCGCCGACCGTATCGGGGCCGCGGTCGCCGACGTGCGACGCGTGAACCCGGGGATCCCGGGAACGAGATGCCGGGTCCCTGCGATAAAGGACGGGCACTGCGAGGACGGAGGGCCTCAGAGAGGCCAACGGGAGGAGTGACCGGCGCCGCGACGCCGGGGTCCGACTCTGGCCGACGCGGCTCGTCGGCCTCCGACGCTGGCAACGGCGCCGCCACTGCCGGCGGGAACACCAAGGGCGTACGAGCGGGCCGCGACTTCTGGAACGCGACGATAGGCGCCCCCGTAGGAGCCACGGGACCCACGGAAGGGGGAGTAGAGACAACCGCGGCGTCGGCCGCCGCGGTAGACGGACCGGTAGCGTCCCCCGACGAGGCGGGGAGCGGAGGTGTCATAACGCGAGGAGCAGCCGGCGCACGTGACGAGCAAGCGGGCGTGCGCGAGTGGAAGCAGAGGAGTCACGAAGTGGAAAGGAGGGATTATCGGGGAGACAGCACGCGACACCCCTCCCCAAGGGGGATTGCTGCAACGAAAGCTACCACAACACGCGACCGCGGACGGTCACCCTCAAGGGGAGGCCGTGTGGTATAACCACCCCCCTGGGGCCTTATTTTAGATTAGATCAACTCAGAATCGGATCAGTTACTGTAGGGCTCGATGCTCTACAGTACCACCACGTGTACCCCCAAGCACAGGGGGCGCACGTGTACACGTGTACGCGCGGAACGGAAGAGCGCGCACACACGTGTATTGTCAGCCCCGATGGCTGACAGTATTACAGTGTCGACCGACCGCTGCAGTACATCGGTACTGTACTGTTATGATAGGTTATTATGTACATTAAATATGGAGCGGACCGGCGGCGGAGAGAGGGCGACAAGGAAGGACTTGTCGACGACCGACCGCCGAGGGCCGACTCCCCGCTTATTCTAACCGCGCGCTTTCTCCTTCGCGCGCGTTAGACGACACCGAGCGCGGGTAGAGGACGCGCGACGCACGCCCACGAGCCGGATCCACCTCCGCCCGTCGGTACTGGATCGTTACCCAGTATCGCCCCGGGGCATGGAGGCGTCGATCCGCTCGCGCGTGCGCCCGTCCTCCTCGATTCCGCTCTACCACGCTACCCGGGCCCGTGCTCCGGTTCCGTAGTGGGTGTCCGTCTTCCCTTGTCTTCTCCCTCTCGAGGGTCTCCGCAAGAACTGAGTATACACCCCGCTCTGTTGGGGGTGTTTATACTACACATTCCACCGCATCCTCATTCGTCCCCCATCGCGTTTTGGTCCTGCTCCTTTCTCCGCTGCTTCCGCTTGCCCCACCTGTCCCTTCTTGCAAACGGAACATATGCCCTAACAATCGGCCGTCTCTTCGCTGCCTCGTGCACATCCCTTCGCTCACCCGCCGCGGGCGGGGCACTCTGTACACCGGGAGAGCCGACCCGCAGCTCAATCCCGGGTGGAGGTGCCGCCGCCCGGGCCGAGGTGCACCCCTCAAGCGGAGCGCCGCTTGGGGAGCACTGCCGTGGCTGGGCGCTGGTGATGTCGGGACGTCAGCACGGGCGCGTTCGACGGCTCGGTGATCTATGACGTCAACCTGTCCAGCCTGGGCACCTGCTACCTCAACCGGAGCACCAGCCACCCCCCGAGTGCCTGCTATTTCAGCCTGACCACCTTCCCTCCCTCTTGGTGCGGCCATATTCCGGCTCCGGATGCTGCGGCGCTGGCCGCCCCGCCGCTTTCTCTTTTGTGGAGGCGGCTCCGCACGCAGCGCCATAGTACGACGACGAGATGGCTACTCTTGAGAGCCCGCTTTTATTTATTAGTGACCCTATTATTATAGGGTTACGTACCGCATATGGGACGCGTACACGTGCGTCCCATATGCGGTACCTAACCCAGCCAGCGACGCCGATGAGAGGGAGTGTCACGCACGCGCCCTCCGACGGGCCACGCGAAATCGTAACTTGTGTGTGTGTGTGGACGCGTGGCGATCTGTGTGTGCGTGTGGACGCGGCCGTGTGGACGCGTCGGGGCGTACGTGGCGTAGCCCCTAGCTTCTCGCGTCCGATGGGACATGGGCGAGGGGACGGACAGTGGGACAGGGCGTCTGTGTATGCGAGAGCTCCCGTGGTGGATGTGGTGGTGAGGAAGCAGAGCTGACAGGAGCGGATGCAAAGTTCGCCGGACGGGACGAAGGAGGAGTTTCCGAGATGGGCTTCGGACATAGAGGGCCGTGCAAATAGGGACGGTTGGTTGCTGGAGGACGAGGTTGTGTTGTTCAACAAGGCCGATGGAAATGGTGTTTGGGGGCGGGAAAACGATGAAGCCGAGGATTTGTCGGGAATTGGCTGTATTTAAATTTCAGTTTTTGCGCAGCGCGTTTCTTTGCGCCCGAGCTTGCCGAGGTGCTCGTCGGAGTGCCGCTGCATGTCTTGGGGCGCCCCGCGCGTTGCGGGCGGCGCGCCGCCATCGTCTCGGGCGGCAGCTTCGCCTTGCGCGAAAGCGCCGACGTGTCCGCACTCCGCTCGCCGACTCCCTCACATCCCCGACCCGCCTCACATGTGCCCGTCGTCTATCCCGTCCTCCACTCGCGCCCCTGGTCAACATACCGACACCCTCACAACCGCCCCCGCCATCATCCCCCGATGCCCTAGACCCATCCACAACATCGCATGTCGTCAAACCAGGGAATGATGCCTGCTGCGGGTGGAGTCCCGGTCGAAGTCAATGTCTACGATCCTCAGCACCGCGACAATCCGAACGTCGTGCTCACCATTAACTGGTATCTATACGTCGTCAGAATGGGGCTATATCACTCGGGCGTCTCCATTTGCGGAAATGAGTATTGCTAAGGCGGACACGCGGATGACGACACAGGCGTCTTTGAAGTCGTCCCGCGGAAGGCGCCCGATGCGAAGTTTAGGCAGACAGTCTTTGTAGAGAGTACCAGTCTTGACCCGCAGCAGGTGTTGACACCTGGCTTTGACAAGCTCGGACATCAGAGCTTGTCAAGGCCATGGCCCACGTGTGGAGTGGCAACTCGTATAACTCATTAACGCGGTAAGTTCTGACTTCTTGTCGAGGCAGGCATGCATTTTTATCTCCTTTCGCAAAAACGTAACCCCTTCGCCGTTGTGTTTTGACCGTGCGCAGAAATTGGAATCACTTCGCCTCAGGCGTTGCCGCCGCTCAGCGCGAGCAGCTCTCTGTTGTCGCCGCGATCCGGCATGCCGGGCGGTTCGGCGGGCGCGGCGTCCTCCTCGAGCATGCGGGCGATGGGCAACCGGTGCGAGAGCTGCGAGCTGGCCATGGCTGCGGTGGCCGCGGCCGAGTCCGCGGCGCGCTGCTGGCGCAGCACCTCGAGTACGGCGATGAATCTCAAATTCCCAAAACATCCAACAAAAATACTACTTCCCATTCCCGGACGCATGAATGTGTTTCTCCTTGTTTCTTCTCGGGATACCAAGTTTTGCAGTTTAGCCATGTCTCACCACAGTCCAGAGAGATCTCTATTCTGCTGACCTTGCGTCCCCCTCTAGAGTATGCATATCCCATGATGTTTTACGTGCCCGAATCGATGACAACCAGACGCTCTCCGTTCGCTGGGTGAGCATTTTCTGGGTGAGCATTTGCGGAGTTGATGTTCATCTCAGTGAAAAAATACTCATCACTGTACATCAGCCCTGTTCGTGTGCCAACTCGGCACCAACGTGCGGGGGGAAGACTCGATTATCAAAGAAATGATAATGGTGTGCTGATGGCTTGTCTCTGACTTCGATCGTGGACAAGTCCTTCACCATTCTTCCTGCACTCCAGCTCGTAATAATGAGCCTCAAAGTAAAACCATGGTCTGGTTACCGTAGGGTTACCGTAGGGGTTCATCACGGTGGCGACATCAATCGAGTTCCGTTCGCACCTGTAGGCAGATCTTCCTTGTTGGTAGCTCGCTCATAGAGAAGCACAATTCAGTTGTAACAAGTCCTTTGATTGTGAGATGGTGCGATTCCCAATTTGTGAGTGCCACTTTTCCATGGTTCCGAATAAAGTGCCCTGAAATTGGAATAACGAAACCTTGGTCCACCAATTTGCTCAGAGGGGGTTCAGCGTTCAACAGATGCTTGCCGGTTAGACGAATGAGTTCTAGACTTAACGGAACCGACGAGTCATGGGATTTCCCTCTCGGCTGTCAATTTTTGTGGTGACATGGTTCTTAGGGCGAAAACTAACCGTAGAAGCTGTCATCTTGTCCCAGTGCTTCGAGAAATGAATTTGAAAGGCGGCTGTAGGTGTGATGTAGAAGAGCTCCTGCTGTATGGAATTACTCGAAGCTCTTCTTGAACTCTTTCGCAGTTTGGTTGTGCACATCAATCGAAAACGAGCTGTTAGAACTTGATGTACATCTTGAAGCAAACAGGCGCGTTACATTTCTACGGCAATACACGGGCCAACACACGATCACAGCCAGACCTCCATCCCCGCAGACGCACGTGCAACTCATCTCTGTCTCCATTTCGGTTATGCATGTTCCAACGTACAAATCAGGTCCAAACAGCGACTGTCCGGCGGGCGCACCGTGTCTTTAGGAAAGTGGCGGACGAGAACGGGGAGCTCTTCCTCGCGCCCAGCATGTCAGGCGGACTTGATAACGGGCTCGTTGTCGGGCGTGATGCGCACGGCGGCGTCGCGCAGACCGGGCACAAAGTTGGGCATGAACATGTGCTTGCAGAAGGGACCGTAGCTGTCGACTAGCACGGGGGCGTCGCAGAACTCGTCCTGGATGCGCTTGCGCTCGCCGAAGTACTCTCACGTGCACCATGACTGCCGCGGGCCCCATCGCCACACGCGTCCCCGGCGTAGTCGCCGTCCGTGAACTGCCGCAGCGCAAACTCATCCAGTGCTTTGTCTGGCACACTCATCACGGCACCCACTTGCGACACGGCTTGCGCGGGCAGTGTTGGTGGCATTAGTTTCAGGGTTGCAGCTTTTGATCACTTCAACATTCAGCCCTCTCCTGCAATAGTGCTTTAAGGCCAATTACCAGATTACAGCTGCTCGCTTGCTGCTCTCACGTTCGCAGAAACAAAACATTCAAGCTAGTGGCAGAACTGGCAACACAATGGTCGCATACGCAGCACAAAGTTCTATTGAACTCCCAGTCCGAAGAAATCGGCTTTTATCATACCTCATTTAAACTCTTTCTTTGCGAGAGTTAACCCGCATGTAGTGCAATATGAGTCTCTACGGGGGGGTGAAAAGAAAGGAAAATATTTGGATATGAAAAGTAGTCCGGGTCGGGGGACACACGTGTGAATAATTGCACAGTTTCAATTTTTAATTATTTTATTTTATTTAGTTAATTAGTTGGCATTAATTTTGCTGACACTAGATTAGATCTAGGATCTAGCGCCGCGAGCTACTGCAGTGGCTCCGGCGGGGCTATATAGCATAGTCCAGTTACCAACCCAAGTGAGTAAAGGTAACCCGAGTTGCCAGAGTTAGATCTCGCCTTCGTCGAAGACCGCTTCCGTTCACGCGACGCGCTTTCCTTCTACGCTGCTAACGACATTCTCTATTGCTCGAGGTCCCATTCATTTTTCTTATCCTTTTACCTTTTCTATCTCTACATCTATTTTCCCTTAATTGTGTTGGTTCCATTGGAGTTGGTTGCGACCGATCCGGTGTAGGTGTTTTAGCCATCGGGCAACACGTTGTGTAGCGCTGCTTCTGTTTCAAGTTCCGTAGGAAGGCTGTTGTGACGACGCCTCCGTCGAAGGTCTTACTGTATAAGACAGAGCTGGTACCGCCTACTGCGATCGCGATCGCGCTGGTGAGGGTGTTTTTAGCCATCGGGCAACACGTCGGTAGTAGCGTTGCTACACGGTTACGATCCCGTCGGGTAGTGCTGAAAAAGCCCCCGTCGAAGACCTTGAATTATACCCAAGGTGCTGAAGACGCTCATGGAGCATTGGCCTTACAACCCAGCGAATCGCGGTTACATTCTCGTAGACAAGCCCAACCCGCACTCGCCGAGCCCACAAGTCTTCACAAGTCTCTACCAAAATTATCCTCCTGGGCCGGGTATCTTTCCTTAACCCCTCCGTCGGAGTCGAGCTACCGTGGGCCGCAAGCCCACACAAGGGGAAAGGGAGTCTCGAACGCTCCGTAGCGCGTGCCATCGGCAGTGGTTGTTGCTGTTGCTGTTTTTCTTCTTTTTGTTTGACCGTCGGACTGTTTTCGCGGCCTGCTAGGCACATTGCACTACAAAAGTGGTCTCTTAACCTAGAATTAGTTCTGTCTACGACAAGGAAGTAGTCTGGGTACGGAGTCTCTTTTTTAATTTTTTTGTTCGCATCTTTTTTTTAGGTTCGTTCGCTACGCCGAACGATGTCGACAAGCGCACCCGGGGACGTCGGTCCCGGGGCGAGCGGGAGCGGATCTGCACGGGCGTCGAGGATCCCGAGGGGTCCTCGCACCCGGCGCCAGGCCAATACGGCCACGGATCCCGGAGATCAAGAATCCCCTACGGGGATTGCCGCCGACAAAATTGACCTCGACGAGAAGTTCGAGAAGATGGGCAGCGAAATTCGCCGAGAGAATAAGAAAATTCTCGAGGATGAACTGGCCCTAGTGCGAAAGCAACTGGAGTTGCAAGCAGCCGAGTTCCACATCGTGTTGGGAGAGCTAACAGCTCGCGTGGGACTCGTCGAGAAAAATAATGGCGACGGGACCGACGGCATCGACCCGGAGGTCCTTGCGTCATTGAAACTTTCAGTTAAGGACGCGAGGCGCGACGCGAATCAAGCCTTGGAGTCCTTAGGAAAATTTAGAACAAGCATCGATGACCGATTCGATCGCGCCGCGCAACGTCTGAAGGACCTTGAGCAGGCCGCGGATCAAGCTCCGCAAGGATCGGACGACGAGCCGCTCCCTTCGGGTAGAGAGGGCGACCGTCGGTCGAAGAAGGACAAGCCCGCTCGGCAGCGGAGTTCCAAGTCGAAGCCCTCGAAGAAGGACAAGCGACGTACAAGCAAGGGTCACTGTAGTGACGATCCGGAGGACCGCGACTCACAGTCAGAGTCGCCGGGTCCCTCCGAGGATGGTAACGGCGGTTCGTCGAACCAGTCCGGCGATTCCGAACATCGTTCAGAAGACGAAAACGGATTTCGTCAAGCAAGAAAATTTCCTCCAGACAAGGCGGGGTCACTTCGTCCGCCTCGCGGAGAGACAAGGACGCGGAGCCCGAAGATGTCGCAACACGGCGCGGGCTGCGATGGGAGGAGTTGGAGGAGCTGAATCCGACCAACTACCTCTTCAATAAATTACTCTCGTACCGAACGTACCCCGCTTGCGGAACCCGCAGACATATTTGTCAAGTTCCCGGCGGACCGCCGTGCGAAAAATCAGGAGAGATATTCCGCCTAAGGTGAAGAAGGACAACACGTTCACAGGTGAGGACGGGGTCTTTGTGTTGGATTTTTTGGCAAAGTTAGTTCAAGAGTTTGATACTCAAGAAATGAACGAGGGGCAAGCGATCCGCTTGTTGCCCGAATTTCTAAGCGGAATCGCCTTGAGACAGTACACTTCTGTGTCTCAGACGGCCGGGTCCCATCACGGAAAGGTGTCCGTTTGGCCAGAGGCCGTACAGTGGTTGTTGAGGAGTTTGGCAACCGACGAGGCGATCCGTCAAGCCGTGCTCGCATTGCGAGAAGTTCAGCAAAGACCGTCTGAAGACGAGATGGAATTTTACATTCGCCTAACGGACGCCAGTAATAGCTGTGGGAATGTTTATTCTATGGAGGAGCAGATGAACATGTTCATCGAGGAGCTAGATGAAAGTATCAAGCCCATGGTCTCGCAGTATCGACAGGATAACCGAGATGTCTCATTTTTGAGATTGGTAAATTACGCGAAGGCGCATGGCTTGGCGAGCCGCGCCAAGGACAAGAAGACCAAGAAGGTCACGATTCAGACGCCGTCGACCTTCAGGGCGGGGAAGAAGCCGAGGGCTTCTTATCCCGGTCGTAAAGGTCAAGCCGCCGTTCACTTAGCCGAGTCAATCTCCGCGTCAGATGAACGCGGTGCGCACGGAAGCAGCGAAAATCATTATGAAGGAGCATTGGTAGCCGAAGGCAATTTTATTGAGCCATCGGAGGGATACGGAAACGAGGACTACGGGGCAAGCGGGTCGTCAACTTTACCGACGCCCACATACACGACGGAGTCGTTTTCAGAGCCCACGGATCCCGTGATGATGTTCCGGGGGCGCGGCCACACGCCGGCGCCGCGCATTCCGATGGAAGACAAGGGTACAACGTTTCGAAGGCCAGGCTGGATGGGAAGGCCGCAACATCAAGGAAAGCCGCCGGCCCGTGGAGGACCTAGGCCGCAATATCCCGTCAAGAAGCACGGACTGGTGTGCTATCACTGTTACGAAAAGGGGCACGCTGCGCCAACGTGCATTCTTTCCCTCCGGAAAATGCACCGAGTTTTGGCAAGTTATGAGGCGTTGTCTCCGATGGAGAGGTTAGGGATACCATCGACAAGTTATCTGAAGGTCAAGAATTGGTTCGATTGGCAGACGGCGAGCACGCCAAGTGCTTCAACGCCGAGGTCGAACCAACCCTTCAGAGGGCCCGCCGCGGGGCCCGCGTCGTCGGACATGAGAAGGAACCCGCAGCCGCAGGGAAACTAGAGAGGGGAATCTCGAGGGAGTCACGGGAGGCGCAGGTTCAACGTACTGCGTCCGAGACTCAGTCCCGTTCCCCGTCTGTAGCAAGAAGGAAAGGCCTCGACGAGGAGGTAGTTGAAATAGGGGGTAAGCCGAAGGAGCCGACTGTTGTCAAGAAAATTCTAAGTCGAGACAAGGATCGTCCGATGGATCAAATTCGTAGGCCCTGGTACAGGGTTAAGCGACAAGAATGTCCTGAAAAGATCTTGGTCCTCGCGCGAAAAAACTACAAAGCTTACGCGGATATTGGACCAACGGTCGGATTGATGAGTCGAGTGTTGTCCGTGTTGGACACAGGTGCCGGACCGAATTTGGTTCGAAGGTCGGAACTTCCGGCAGGAATGGAAATGTTGGTGTCCTACGGACCGACCCAAGACATTGGCGACGCGAATAATAGGCCACTCCGGACTCTCGGCACAATTAAAATGCCTGCGAGGCTTGGAAGATTTGTGGCCGCAGCCGAGTTTATTGTATGCGAAAAACTAGCAGTCCCGCTAATTCTAGACGCGGACTACTGTGACCGGTTTGTGGAAGCAATTTATCCAAGGAAGAAAACGGTTGAGTTGGCGAATTTCTCGGAGGTTCCGATAATTAGGCGGTTCTCGACGAGAAAAGGGAAGGAGAATCTCGTCCCGGGAGAGGACGAGAATGATGGAAAGGGGGAGCGAATTTTCCCTAAGGTAAACGTGGCAAGAGCCACGACTATCGAGCCAGGGACGCAACGCGTCGTGGAGTGCACCTCGAAGAGGGCGGGCTTGGTTGTGGTTCAGCCGTGACCGTCGTTGTACGAAAGGCACGGGTTGACGTGCACGAATGGTGTCGTTCAGGTTGAGCCTGACAGGCCATTTCGTTTACTCGTTGCGAATTTTAGGACGTACCCTGTCAGGGTGCAAAAAGGCCAAGTGGTGGCAGAATTATTACCGCACCCGAGGGCCGTGCGCGAGAGCAAAACCACCATTGGTGAAGTTCTCGGAATTCAAGAAAGGAAGAAGGAAAATTTTCCTAATTCTACCAAGACGCCTAAGGGCGAGACAAGATGCGAACCGTCGGATCAAGCGCACGAGGACCCGCCAGAAGAACGGTCGAGTGGGCTCTCTGCCACGGCATCGTCGAAGCCGGAGCAGCAGATTGAGCCCCAACCGCCGGACGTGGAGGACCTGGACCTGAGCCACGTGCCGGAACGGCTGCGCGAGCGGTTCCGACGGATATTGAAGAAGTCCTCTAAGATGTGGGATGGGACCCTTGCTGAAATTAATACCACGGTCCACCGGATAGAGCTGGTCCCGGAGACCAGGCCCATCGCACAAGCTCCGTACCGAGCCGGTCCAAAGGCTCGGGAGGTCGAGGACGCAGAAGTACAGAAGATGTTAGAGGCAGGAGTCATCGAACCGGCGCAGTCAGAATGGGCGTCGCCCGTTTTATTAGTGCTCAAGCCGGACGGATCGATGCGCTTTTGCGTAGACTACCGCAGGTTAAACGCGGTAGCGGTGAAGGACACGTACCATTTACCGCGCATGGATGAGTGTCTGGACTCGCTTGGTGACACCAAGGTTTTCTCCGCGTTGGACGCGAGTTCGGGGTATTGGAAGATGCCTATTCCCGAAGCGGACCGCGACAAGACAGCTTTTTCGTGTCACTCAGGTCTCTACCGTTTTTCAAGAATGCCCTTCGGGCTTACCAACGCGCCGGCGACGTTTCAGAGAGCCATAGATATACCGCTCTCTCCGTTCTGATGAAAGTCATGTCTGGTGTATTTGGATGATATCATCATCTTCAGCAAATCCTGGGAGGAGCACGTCTTCCATGTTGACGCAATACTGCCTGTATTGGAGAAGGCAGGTGTGAAGCTCAAGCTTCGCAAGTGCGAAATTTTCGTCGAAAAGATCAGGTACCTGGGCCATGTCGTTCGGCCAAGTACATTGGAAGTTGACACTGCGCGAACCGCCGCATTAGAACAAGTGAGGTACCCTCAAACGCAGACCCAGCTCAGAAGCTTCTTGGGACTTTATAATGCGTACCGTCGGTTTGTCCCACATTACACAAAAATCGCGCATCCTCTCAATCAACTATTGAAGATGGGACAACCGGTCCAGTTTGAAGGATTCGACGAACCGTGCGAAAACGCTTTTCATAAGCTCAAGGACGCCATCTTGGCACCGGTGTTGGCGCTGCCGAAGAAGGACCTACCCTACTCGGTAGATACCGATGCAAGCGACTATCAAATCGGCGCTTCATTATTTCAAACGCATCCGGATGCGCAACGTAAACCCATCGGGTTCTTTTCAAGAACGTTAGCCGCAGCCGAGAGAAACTATTCTGTATCAGAAAAAGAATTTCTAGCGGTAATTTGGGCCGCACAGACTTTAAGACCATACGATCGTTCTAGAGGCCGCAGGACTAAGGAACATCGAAACCATTCTGCTCGGAGAGGCCAAAACCTACTACAATAGGAAGGTTTATGCCAACCCAAACGACTTCCGGACCTGTGATCCAATCAATAAGTTCATACTTGATATTTTCTACGGCTGCGAAGCCAAAGAGACACTCACGCATTTGGATTCGGTGTCTGTGTACGAGGAAGGAAAAGCAAGAGTCACAATTGGCAGGGCTAAGAGCGGTTAGAGACGAGATCATAAAGCACGCGAATCTCGTGCCGAAGGGCAGCCAGACGGACCTCTGTGGATTTCTCTGCATACTCAGTGACTGATACTCCTGGGTGCGGTGGGAAAGGGAGGCGAACACGGTAAACTATATCTCCTATTAGCAAACGAACTATCTACCAACTATCTAACAGTGATTTGAACCACAGTAGCAGCACTCGTCCCCTTTTTGGGAGTACGATTGAAGTTGTTTCGGTCGAGTTCGACAATAGTCTGAACAGCAAGAATGGCGATGAATTCGCCGTGCGCTGTGCTTTGGCTTACTGTTGATGATGATTTAGTAGTATTGTGGACTCCTCTCTGGGGCGAGAGTAGCAGGATATGTTTAACTTCAACCGCCATCGTGGCGCTCCTCTCATCGCCGACAGTGAGATGGAGTCCCGGACAGACCAGTTTGTAGGAGTGTCAATCGAGTCTATGCTGCACAGGTGTTCGACGCTGGACATATTTGAGGTACAGCAACGTCGGTAGGAGCTACGGAAAGCGAAGATAGAGTGTCGGATGAGCGTTTTCAACACATGCCTAGGCCAATATCATATACCTCGTGTGGATAGAAATATAATGAAATCGTGCATTTCACCTTCTTGTACATCGGACCGGGACAATACGAGGAAACGTACATTCTGGTGATAAGAGATGATTTGTTGCCAGGTTTTTTGGCTCATACGCGCCAGGTCAGCCGACGCAGAGAGAGAGAGCGGCCCAGAGCCAGGCCAACTGAATGCCAACTTTCATGGTTACGCAGGCATGGGCTGGCGATGAAGGCTTACATTTCAAGAACAAGTTGATGAAAGAACTTGCTCAAGAACACGAAACCATACCTCGGTATGCTGTAGCATATTTTCTATGGGTAGACCTCATCGTCGAGAACTGCACGAAACATGTGCAGGCGCCATACAGAAGCCTGCAGTTCGAACTCAAGCTAAGATGACAGGATTGGCCATCAGTTGTAGAAATGATGGAAACCATCTTGAACGAAGCACTGCTCAAGCGGATAGGTTCGCGAGAAAGTGGGACATATCGCACACCTCTTGAGGAAATGACTGGACTCAAACCGACACGAATTACATTACACACAAGCAAATTCTCAGACGGAAAGAAAGAGGGAATGAAGTAAGAGAAGGTCACGGACTTTTTCAGGCATACCAAAAAAATAAGGTCACCAAAGCTGTCAGGTCAGCACTAGGAATAACTGAATAAATGACCTACATGTAGCATCGCTGAGTGATGGGGTTTTGTAGAGATATTCAACCCTACATAGCTACACAAGTTGCGGAAGAGACGACAACGGTTAGTGCAATTTGTTTAAAAAAAGAATCGGAGAGGCACAAGGAGTTTTTTTCTCCTTTGTGTTTGAGAATTCAATTTGGGGCAGGAGTGAAGATCGCCTTGCGGCAGTTGTGGTATCCAATATCGTACGAACGTTGAGGGATATCTGGTTTAGGATGGGAGCACGTGGAAATGTGGGTATGCTATGGTGTCGGTTTGCAGCTGAGGGGGGAGAAGGGCGGAAACTGCTCTAGGTTGGGAGCACGAAGAAAAGTGGGGATGATAAGGTCACAGTTTGCAGCCTAAGCGGATGATATTGGAGCAGACGCAAGGGCAACTTTCAGCCGACGCTATTTAGAGAAATGTGAGAGCCATGACGGTGACGAGAAAGAAAGAAACAATTTTACGACACAGTTCGGAGTGTATGCTGTGTGGGTAAATGACACAGCCTGTGTTTCTATTTTGATAACTGTTCCGAGTTGCGGCGTTGGAACAGGTACATATGTTTGTTCGGCGAATACAAACCGGGCTTTCACAGTATCACTCTAGGCACTGCCCCTGGCCCTGCGCGCGCCCTCACGCTCTCAACTTGTCGCTCATGTCGGTAGCAGAGAGCTGCTTGCCCGAAAGAGACTCCAAAAGCATCGCAGAAAATGCATAAAGTTTAGTGACACAGCCATGGCATGGCGCTAAAAGCACACGGTGGGAGGGCGACGGTGGGAAGGCACTTGGTGTGCAGGACGGGCGCCAGGGGTGCCATCGCGGCGAGGGAGAGGGAAGACGCTTGGAAGGAACACTCCTGTTTAGGTGTATGCCTGGAGCCTGGAGCAGGGGGGAAACGTCCGAATCTGTGATTCAGATTTCGGCATTACAGTCAATCCTCGCTGCTGTAACTGCATGCTCGGTTTCTGCATATTCTCGATTACTGCATGCGTTCGTCAGCTACCGGCTGCGGAGCAGCGATTCCAGCCTGTATATGATATTGAACTGCACACCGCATAACTGCATGAAGAAAGTGATCCTTAATCATATCGAACCCTCATACAAAGGCTTACTATGAAACAGGTAAAAACTTACGACAACAGATATGCAGTGCTTCGCCACCGCCATCGGTGCTTCCTCACCGCCATCGGTGCTTCCTCACCGCCGTCGGTGCTTCCTCACCGCCGTCGGACCCGGATATCTGATTTTTTGAATAAAAACGAGGCATTTGGACACTTTGACAAGTGCATATGTTCGCCACCTGCATACGAAAACCCTCCACTTTTCAGATGCAGTTAGCGAGGATTCACTGTACAGAACGTTTTGGTAGGAACTAGGAACATGAGACAAATGATTTAGGGTAGATACTGTACCCTTGGTACTGTATCTGTAATTCTTTTACAAATTCTCGCACGGACAGCTTCCACTGCCGGTCCCCTGCAGGCCGCCTGCCTGAAACCCCCCCCCCCTGTCCTCGTCCGGCCCGTCTTGCTGGCGTTGGCACCAACGCTTTTGAATCCGGGGACATTCCGCCACCAAGCGCGTGCGGGCAATCATTGCTCGGCCGTCCCTGTGTTGGGGTCTCTCGGCGACCTGCGCCGTCTCTGCCGGGTTGGCGGCACTGAAGGGCTTGAGACAGTCGCGCGTCACTTTGCATGTGGGCGAGCTTTCTATCTTGTCCATCAAAGCTCGCAGACCGGTTCTCGCCGCGACGGTGTCCAACAAGTCCACCTGCCCACTCGGCGCATGACTCGACTTGGGGGGGACCTTCCCACCGCGAGGGTACTGTAAACTTTACTCGTATCGTCCTACGGCTTTCGTTGCAGTACTGTACCGTTGGTACTGTAATACCGATGGACTGGACAAGCCCCCTGGAGTACAGCACCGTATCATACGCCTCCCTGGAGTCCCTTGCAGCCCTCGTTGCTGGCGTAAAATTCTTGTCAGTGCGTCGCGAGAGCAGCCTTACTCAACTCACGATGTGCCAACACAGCAGCAACAATCCGCACAACCGCCGCCCTGTTTTTTCAGCGTAGGAAATCACTCCAAAATTCACTGTCAAGCGGGCACCTACCGTAAAATAGCTGTGGGCCATTGGATGTCCTGCATTTATTCGAATGCGAAGGGTGGAAGTAAACCTTTCCCGCCCTCTCTGCGAGAAGACCAAGAACGAAAAACGACTAACCCTTGGGTAACGACCGACAACGAGAAGAGAGATATAGAAAAGAATAAGCGCCGCTTTGCCACTGCCACCTACTCGAATCCGAACAACACCCCCTATTCGCAAACACCATGGATATCTTGGGCCTCACCGGCCCGGCTGAGCAAGTCGTCCGCCTCATCGCAAGTCTCATCGAACGACACAAGGCCTACAAGGAAAACAAAACGCTCTCTACGGAAGTGCTCACTGCCTACACTACCTTGCAGGCAGACATCACGGAGCTTGAAAACATGCCGATCCATGGAACGTCGTCGCAGCACACGCGCTTGCTCCAACGTGAAGTCGCGGACATCTCAAGCTTCATATTGAATTCCCTCGCTGAGCTGCGGAAAGAGTCGAAAGACCCAAAAGCGAGACTCGGTGCGTACGCCTCTGCAGTGGGAGATAGAGAAGTCCTAGAGAAGCGCAAGCAAGAAGCGGACCGCCTTCACAATCGCATTCTACACGCAAGCGCGGGGATCGATACTCGTGCAACTCGCGTGGCCGTGGAGTCGATCAGCATCGATACTGGCGCGACTCGCGCGGCCGTCGAGTTGACCAGGCCAGGCACGAGTGATAAGTTCAAGGCGTCGATAAGAGCGGAACGTAATCCTGCGTCGATATGTGTGAAGCTTAATTCTCAGGGGAGCGATGGATTGCCGAACACGTGTGAGTCGCGTCTGAAAGCGGCTGTGCTACGGAGAGATAGGAACGAGCAAGTGGGTGCCACAGCAGTGGGACAGGGCGGAGTCGGGAAGACATGTGCCCTACGAGCGATCGCGCACGATGTCGAGATTAAGGCGGAGTTTTCGGGAGGAGTATACTTCATGTCGTTAGGGAAAGATGGAAACGTGGGACGGCTGATTGAAGAACTGTGTCTGATTGTGGAAGCGTCCGGTGGGAACCAGAGGGCTGTGGAAATGCGAGAGCAGAGCGAGTTTGAAAGCGTGTTAGCGAAGGTACAAGCTTGGTTTTGTAGTCATGTGTGTTTGTTCATCATTGATGATGTGTGGGTGGTGAATGATATGGACGCGAATATCCTTCAAAAGTTGTCTGTTCTGACTGGCACTTTGGGGGGCAGCGGGGGAAGGAGGAGCAGACTACTGTACTCCACGAGGGATAAGGAGCTGCGTCAGATTGGGGAGCGGGTTGCTTTCGAGCCTAGGGAGAAGGTAGGGAAAGAAGCAGTTGAGATGCTTGTGCACGCGAGTGAGGCAAATGGAGAGGAAGTGGATGATGCGAGATGCAAGGAAGCCGTGGGTGAAATACTGAAAATGTGTGGCGGATTGCCGCTTGCTCTGAACGTGGCAGGAACGAGCGTGAGGTACATGAGGGACAGATGGCAGGGAGAATTGTCAGAAGCATGGGGAGCGTACCTTTCGAAGATGAAGAGTCGTAACACGATTCGCGGGGAGAGTCCGAAGGACGGATATTCGTCGTTAGATGGGACATTGCATACGTCACTAGATATCCTGGAGTCGGATGTGGGAAGGAGTGGGGAGACGGTTGATGAATTTTCGTTTCGAAAGATGCACCGGAGTCTGTGCGTTATGAAGAAGCAAGACCGGATACCTTTGAGTTTGGTTGGAAATTTGTGGGAGATGAACGAGGAGCGGACGGAAAGGTGTGCAAAGGAGATGGAAAGGGTTGGACTAGTAGAAGTGCAGTATGAGAAGGGTTGTGGTGGGTTGGGGGTGCATGATCTGACGCACGATTTCGCGGTGGAAGAAGCGAAAAAGAAGGAGGGTGTAGAAGAGTGGTATAAGAAGATGGCGGATGTGTGCAGGGCAGGAGAAGGGTTGCTTGCGATGAGTGAGGACCGAGACGGAGAGGGGAAGAGCGCACGGGAGGAGTATGTTTTCGAGAATATATATCGTGTTTTGAAACAGGGTGGGTGCGTAGAGGAGCTGAAGAGGCTATTTTTGAGTGCGCGATGGGTGAAGACAGTGCTACGGAGAGGCGGGGTTTGGCAATACGAGGAAGCTGTGAAGGGATTGAGTAGAGACTTGAAGGGGAAAAGAGGACGCGGGAAGGTGGGAATGGGACGGGTAGATGAGGATGCAGTGGATGGAATGGTTTTGATGATGCGGGCTGCGCGACTGAGTGTACCGTTTTGTGGTGAAAACAGTGCCGGGATTTACTTTCAACTATATGGGCGAGTGAAGCACAAGGCACGGGATTCAAGTTGTGTGCGAAAGATGCTGAAGGAAATTGAGAGATACGCACCACGGCCGTGGGTGCGGCCTGTGAGTGAGTGTGTAGCGCGAGCCGATGGAAAGATGGTGGAGCAGATTGTTCTGCCATATTTCGGAAACGGAGAAATTCAAGTGGGCATGGATTCCAGAGGTGAAGTGTATGGATGTCAGGTGGAGGAGTCCGGGGCAAAAGTACTAGTTTTCAGGCAATCTGCTGAGAAGGAGACGAAGATGGTTGAATTAGAAGGCGAGTTCGAAACGGAGAGCCAGGGCCCAGGGGCCAATGAACCAAGCAGTCAATTAGAAGGCGAGTTCGAAACGGAGAGCCAGGGCCCAGGGGATCTTCAAGCAAGCAGGCGCAAAATGTGTCGACGTTTCAGGGCATATTTTGGAATGTGCTGTGGAAGTGTAACCTCCGAAGTGACTGGAGAAAACCCGAGCGTGACTGTGGAAAACCCGAGCGTGACTGTGGAAAACCCGAGCGTGACAAGAGCCACCTGCGCAATTCTCTGTGAGAGGAAGGAGAATGTTGTTGTGGGATATGAAGACGGAACGTTAAGGCTGTGGAGTACGTCGGAGAGGAAAGTATTGAGAATTTTCCGCGGTCACAAGTCGGAAGTGACTTGTGTTGCGATGAGTGGGGACGGAAGACGTGTGGTATCTGGATCGGGGGACATGAGCGTGCGGGTGTGGGACGTGGAGACGGGAGCACAAGTCGGGGAGGCGTTAGTTGGACACACGGAATCGGTGTGTAGCGTTGCGATGAGTGGGGACGGAAGACGTGTGGTATCTGGATCGTATGACGGGAGCGTGCGGGTGTGGGACGTGGAGACGGGAGCACAAGTCGGGGAGGCGTTAGTTGGACACACGGGTGGGGTGAGTAGCGTTGCGATGAGTGGGGATGGAAGACGTGTGGTATCTGGATCGGTTGACGAGACCGTGCGGGTGTGGGACGTGGAGACGGGAAGACAAGTCGGGCAGGCGTTAGTTGGACATACGGGTGGGGTGCTTAGCGTTGCGATGAGTGGGGACGGAAGACGTGTGGTGTCTGGATCGGATGACGAGAGCGTGCGTGTGTGGAACGTGGAGACGGGAAGACAAGTCGGGGAGGCGTTAGTTGGACGCACGGATGCGGTGATTAGCGTTGCGATGAGTGGGGACGGAAGACGTGTGGTATCTGGATCGAAGGACGAGAGCGTGCATGTGTGGGACGTGGAGAGAGGGATCACACTTCATACCGGGAGGAAAGAGGATTGGGAAGAAATCACGAGTCGGTTCCTGAAGACGGCAGACTTGGGTACTGCTTTCCGCGCAGGACGAACATCACAAATATTTTCAAGGGACGGAAGAATTGTGCAAAGGGGACAGGATGGGTCTGAAGCTGTCTTGGCCCAGTTGGATAATGCAAGAGACTTGCAGATAGACCACGATCACGGGGTCGTAGTTGCAGGGGTGGGTAATGTGGTTGCTATCATGAAGCTAGTGGTGTAAGCTACTAAGTAGTGTAAGTAAGTATCGAAGTGCGATGGCCGCTGGCCGCCCGTGACAGTAGTAGTGCGTTGAGGGTTTTTTGCTTTGTTTTTGATTTATGAATGCGTGAGAAGCTCGCCTCACGGACGTTGCAATCCATGTATGTGTATGTATGTATGTATGAACTAGCGACCTGCTTCCGTTCATCGTGCGCTCTTGTGCTCAAAAGTTATAAAGGTATTCGTGAATGAACGGTGTGTCGAGAAGCGTTGCAGACCGGGTCAAAGCGGGGGCCAATCTCACTTTGAAGAGGCGATGGGTACACAGCCAGCAGCGAGACGGATAAGTAGGAGCGAGAGTAGAGACGACGAAACGAAAGATGTTCTATGAGTTTGTCTAGCCTGCGCCCCGCCGCCGCCACACTCTGCCAGCGGCGAAAACAGTGCGCCCCAGCTCCCCATCCCGCTGCTGCTGCAAGCCGGGTCGTGGCGGGGAAGCGTCCGCCACGCGACTAGAACGCGGCGGGGGCACGAGCGCTGTCCATACGTGCGGCGGCGACGGGCGCGCGCACGCGCAAGGGAGAGCGGGGGAAGGGGGAGGGAGGCACAGCGCGTCGGGGTGAGGGCGCGCGCAACGGCGGCGGCGACGCTTATTCGGACGCACGCGCTTTGAAAGGGATGCGCGCATTGCTGCGCACGAGCGGGAAGCAGGGCGGCATGATGCTTGCGCTGCGAGTTGTTCGTGGTTTGAACGGGAAGCGTTTGCGGGCGGAGCTGCAGCCATGCTACGTGCGGCGTAGAAGACGCACGGCGGCGCGATTTGCGCTACCCCGCCGGCACGGGCCATCCGCCCGCACCTCAGCGACTGCGACCGGCCTCGCCCCGCGTGGGGCGCGGCGACGTAGGCACGTTGGGAGAGGGCGCAGTTGCGCGCGGCGGACGGCGGCCCGGGTAAGCTGAAATGCGCCTTGTATCCGCAGCAGTCGCGCGGGATCGCCGCGGGGCGCAACAGGTGGTACGTACCCTTGGGTAACACCCAAGTAAAGCAGTGATTAAGCAATCAATGTAAAGAGAAATTTAGAGAAATGCATGTGATTGTGAGAGTCGGCAACACTTCGGCAACACTCGTGTGCGCTCATAACGGACACATGTGGACAAATGGGAAAACGTTGACACGCAGAACACGTGCGGGAGCAAGCTGCTGATAATCAGCGGAGAAACAGGAAATACCACAAAGTGCGTGTGCAGCCCTCAGAAATGAGATGTACGCAATTCTCCGGATTGCATTATCCCTTCACAACATAACATAACATTACTCACAGCCATGTATACTTTACCGCTTCGTAGGGCGAGGACAAGAGCAAAAAGAGGAAAAAGGGGAAGATAGATTCCTTGGCAAGAATTTGCTGCCGCGTTTGAACGCGAGACCTCCCGCGCCTCTACGCGAAACTTCCAAAAGGACATCTATCCTTTTGGATACCGTCACACACACCGGAAGACTAGCTCTTGTATCTTTCCGCCTTGGATTTACCGTATTCCGACAACCGGGATAGCATTCGCTCAAAAGGACATTGAATAAAGAAATCAGTCAACACAACCGGGAGGGCGCGAGGTCACAGAGCGGCCGTCGCCGCCGACCTAATAGACCTAATAGCCAACTGTAGTTCAGTGTCCTTAGTATCCTTCCCTTCGCATACCTCAACCATCGCCACATCGACACTCGCTCTTTTTTCTGTTCGAAAAAAATACTGACATCAGTATCCGCGGTAACCAGGTCGAGCATAGCGCCTTAGCGCGACACTCTTTAGAGCACCAACGAGAATAACCGCAGACTCGGAACATATTCACAACTACCTTGCTCTGCTCTGCCTGCCTGCCAACAAGTGCTGCTGCCTCGATCGCATCTTTGTTTTTGACTTCTCCTCTAGACCGAACCTTGTCCACTACCAAACATTCACCATCTGCCTACTCTATTCACACTCTACTCCTACCTCGCCCGTTCTGTCTTGAACACATTCACGCTGCTAAGCCATTTACTCCGCTGCCTGGCCTTTCTGGCCAGCCAAGATAAGACATCCGGTATGACATCCGATTGACTCGACTCTTAAGTTTTGTGGGGTCGCCCAATCGAGCACTTCTTTTACCACACCACTTGGAGAGCACTTGATCCGCGCCTCGTAGATCTGCCCTGTTTTGTCCTCATTCAACACCTTCTTTCCCGACCGCCTCTCGTGCCCGCTCGTGTGATCACGTTACAGTCGGGCTACGTTGCGTATCTGCGCTATACGGGCGCGCTTTCGAACTATATAGGCTGCTTTTGTGGGGCCAATTAGTTGAGTATATACCACCACAATGCCTAGGTCTTCTCTCGTCACCACCACCTCATCTTCGGCACGAGTCTCCCGCTGTACCGGGGACAACGTCCACGTATGCGGGAAGTGTGAAACGCACTGTCCATGCCCGAATTGTGTGGCCGAGAACTGTCACGCAGTCTGCCACTGCAGGCGCTGCCGCCAATGTGAGCCACATTGTGAGCAGAGCTGCGGGCACCGCTGCTACGATGTAGTAGAGGACCCACACCCTATAGCCCGAGTCATGCGCCTAGCTGCAGGGAGGGCCCGCGGACCGAAGCGGTCCCCGGAAGTAGGATACCCTCCCGCGGGGAGGGGCACCACCTGAACGTGTTTAAGCCTAAGCACGACCACGATCCCGGCCGGGCTGCTGGAGATCGTCCAGGTGAGACGAGCACTGATGTGTCAGGTCTGTTTAGCTCGGAATCAATTCCCCAGCCCCCCGACCCGGATAGTGCATGGTCACTGCGTAGTCCGCACAGCAGTGACGACATCATCGGGGACATGGGGGAGGGCGACCCTAAGCCGGAATATTGTGCTAGGGACATGAAAAGAATATTCAAGTGCAACCGGCGGACTATCGCCTCTCGATGGAATGGGCAGGAAGCGGCTTACAGAAGCAATTCTCCCTGCCCGATGCCCTGGGACGTTTGCGATTTTGGTTACATTCAGCCATTCGCGCGCCCGGAGAGTCTCACTCGCAACTGGGACTTTGAGGTTGTTGCCGGCCGCCTACGGCTCCGGCACAGGGGGCTCGCAGTGTGGGTTCGATCGACAAGCGACCTCGCGGTGTCGTCGTGGTCGTCGTATATCAAGCACGGGTGGTTAAGTTACTTAGCCGACGCCCACGGTATGTATAGCGAGTTTGCCGACTTAGTTGCGGCAGGTACTGTCCACATTTACGAAGACGATGATGTCGCTGCTAAAGATGTGTCGTGTGTTTTGTTTGACGTACCTATTCCCGCTGTTGGGAGGGATACACTAGTCCGATTATAGTCCGATACGCGCGGCGCCCGATCGATGTGACCGAGGCCTGGCGTTGTATGGCGAAATCCTTCATGGACGCGAAGCCCCCCCCCCCCCCCCATGGCTAGAAGGCCAGTCTTTCTGCCCGTCCTGGTGGCCGGTGACGTGTTACCACGGGCGGAGGTTGACGGTGAACGCGTTTTCGGACGAGATCGCGGCGCCGGAGTGGAACGATCTAGGGGGTGGTAGTGATATATGGTGTCCTGGGCAGGTGCAGTAAGATGCCCGCCGTGCATGCGATCAGAAGTATGGCATTAAGCCCGTTGCACATTCCCCTCCACCCCGTGGACAACTGTTTTTTCTCCTTATTCAGGCACTGCGAAGACGGGGACGGGTCATCACTTGGGCCGATAAACGCCAGCCAGGTTATCTCGTGCGGTATCATAGATATTGAGGAGTGCAGGTTGCGTGCGATCCCTGGCGGTAAGTGGCTGAAGGCTGCCGGGGATGATATCTGGGTCGTGCGCACGCGGGAAGAAGCCACACATCGTGAGAAACTAATGACTGTCGATCTGGTGCCGAGACAAGCAAAAGAGAGTTGGAGAGAGATACCCTCGACCCTCAGCCGTCGCACCTCCATATCGCAAGTTGCGATACACGTGTGGGATTATGATAACCTGTGCGAGAGGGTGAGCCGTAGCACTATATAGAGGGATGCACTACTAAAGACGGCACTATTGAGAGACCCCCCTGTATGACATAGACCACGATTCAGAATGTGATGAGAGGAACGATGCCCACTGAGCTAAAGGGGAGGTGCCGTTGGCCAACGACATGAGAGAGGAATGACTGGGAGTCATATGAAGGAATCACCACACAGAAACTACCATTGGCAGCCCCAGCAGTTTAGGAAAAAAAAAAAATTACCTCAGCTGTCCTTGTTGCCCTTGACGCAGACCTCAACATGAGCGAGGAACACGACGCTGCTGCGAACCAACAGTTGGAACTGATGCTGTACTGCGGCCCCGCTGAGCTACAATGAATGCCGGACAAGGGGGATGACAATTAAGCACATGTTCGCTCCCAGTTGGAGTCACTCGTCGAGGACGGTATCGCTAGGGACGACATCCAACAACGCTACGTGCAACTGTTGCCCACTGAGACACTATTCGCACCCCACGCCCTGAACAACGCTAACGCCCATACGATGTTCAAAGAAGTAAGAGAAGTAATACACAGACGTGGAGGCAGAATCGCAAAGCCCCGTGGCCTCACGATTAAGAAATCACTGCCCGACCACTTCAGCGACCCGCAGGCAACAAAACACGAAACAGATATAGATTGCGAGCTTGTAGCAAGGCCTAATCCTAATCCCCCGAGCAGTCACTGAGTGTACGCCCTCGCCTCGTCCTTGCACAACACAGAGCGTAAGTCCACGACTTCTTGGAATAAATCCCTGCACTGTCTAACTAGAGAGCTCCCGCGGTCAGACCTGTAGCATATTTACTATGGGTAGACGGCACCGTCGAGAACTGCACGAAACACGTGCAGGCGGCGTACGGATGCCTGCAGTTCGAACTCAAGCTAAGACCACAGGATTGGCCATCGGTTGTAGGAATGATGGAAACCATCTTGAACGAAGCACTGCTCAAGCGGATAGGTTCGCGAGAGGATGGGACATATCGCACACCTCTTCAGGAAATGACTGGACTCAAACCGACACGAATTACATTACACACAAGCAAATTCTCAGACGGAAAGAAATAGGGAATGAAGTAAGAGAAGGTCACGGACTTTTTCAGGCATACCAAAAAAATAAGGCCACCAAAGCTGTAAGGTCAGCACTAGGAATAACTGAATAAATGACCTACATGTAGTATCGCTGAGTGATGGAGTTCTGTAGAGATATTCAACCCTACATAGCTACACAAGTTGCGGAAGAGACGACAACGGTTAGTGCAATTTGTTAAAAAAATAATCGGAGAGGTACAAGGAGTTTTTTTCTCCTTTGTGTTTGAGAATTCGATTAGAGGCAGGAGTCAAGATCTGCATTTACTCATACTCTTTACAGTAATACTCAAGTTAGGACATGGACAGATGTAGTAGCCATCGGTGGAAGAAATTAAAGCTCGACCATCGGAAGTTCTAACCCCCTTCGACTTGCTCACACTACCTACAGTGTCTAAAGGTCTTTTTCGTCTGAGGGATTCTAAAGCACAGGAGCCGCTGCAGAGGATAGGATAGTAGTGCCACTGCTTCTAGGTGTTAGTCTCAGTTATCTACTTGCGAAGATTCTCGGGCCAGGAAACTGAGATTGTCTCCAATCATCACGCCTGCCTACTTACCATCAGAATCTATTAAAACTGTCCTTAATCCATTACATGGGGGAAAGGCGTAGACTCGCATATGGCTTTTGCCAGCATGGCTTCCCTTGCTCCAAAACCTCTCATGCTGTGCTGTTCGACGAAACCTCCAACACGGCTAGCATGTTCTTCCTCTTCTCTGAACATATACAAAGCACCTTGCTCGTAATCGTCATACCCACAATCACGATCGCCACGAAGTCGAACGCCGCCGTGAGCACTGCGACCGTCATCACCCTGGTCTTGTAATGCTTAACCTCCCCTAACACGCCGGTGAGGATCAGCACGGTCTTATTCTCCCCTCCGTTAACCCCTTTTGTTGCGTCGACAAACGCAAACATCGAACTCCAGTCCCTCGCGCTGATCTCACTACTGAGCGCGGTATGTAACGGCAGCGCCTCGAGTGCGTACGACAAGAACTGGAAGAACACAATGAGCGCGAGATGGCAATAGGTCGATGTCTTGCGCTTCAATTCCTTGACGTAAAACGACACCAGGAAGATGAGCCCCAGCGCCGCCGCGCTACATGAAAGCGCGAGCTCCGTGTCCGACACGAGCGTGACGGTGGGATGAAGCAAAAAGGTGCCCTGGAACTTGCCCACGGCGTAACAGTCCTGCTGCGATGCCATGCGTGCCGCATCGCCCAGCGTGGCAGCGTACAAGGCGGCGCACGCAACGCCGTCCTCTGGGTCATCCGCTCGGAGTAGGCGAGCATTTTTTCTGGTGATGCCGCCTCTCTCCGACGCATGATCGCCCTTGTCGAAGACGCTGATATTGTCAGTGTGTAGTGCGTGCATGTCGACAGTGGGCAGCTGTTCGAAATCGGTGTCCAGATAGGATTGGTAGGCACCGCGAATGCCGCGTGCGTCCCAATGGTCGCCATTAACGTCGTCTTCGACGTCGAAAGAAAAGGCCTTGTACGCGGGCAGCGATTTGGTTGCTTCAGATTTTCTCTGAGAGCTGACTTGCAAAAGCTCGGAGTGGCAGTCTGAGAAGCTCCTATCCACGGCCTCGTAGAGGCAGGTCCTGGTTCCGGTTAAGGCGGTTGTGCCGTTAGGGAGGAGAGTAGTGAGTTCGACAGGGCGTACGAGGATAGCGGACTCGCAGTTATCAGTAAGGCAACGACAGGCGATCATGACTTGTCGGCTGTGGCCTTTAAAGTTGCGTTGAGAATCGTTGAAGTTGTAGAAGACTTCGCCGACGGGGATGCCGGGGTCTGCGGCGACGCGGCAGACGGCGTCGGGGTCGGTTAGGCAGTGCGTCGAGGCTTTGGACGAGAGGAATGAGCGGTAGACGTTAGAAAGCTGGCCGGAGCGCGGCGCGGAGGTGGTGTGGATGCCGGATGTGGGCGGGATAAACGAGAGGGAATGGGAGACAGTGGAGCGCCAGCGCTTGTAGGTGTCTTCAAGGTGGGCAGGAGCGCTGGATCCGTTGTACAAGGGAGTGCCGCAGACGCAGAGCAGGAAGAGGGGGAGGAAGAGATGAAACATTTCGGAGGCTAGGGAGTCGAGTGCGCCAGACCAGGAGGGCGGGAGGCGAAGAGATGAGCCGGATTCATTGATAAACGTGGATGGAAAAGCGCATGAAGGGCTGGGCACTTGAACGCGGGCGAGTGAGAAGAGGACGGCTTGGTCGTCGGCAACGGGGTGGATTTGATCCGTAGCGAGCGAGCGGGCGGGAATCTCGGATGTTCGTAGCGGTTGCAAGGGCAAAGCCCCTGCGCAGGGGCAGTTGAGATGGGAGGCACAGACCTTTAAGACTTCTCTCTAAGCTGTGCAGGAGGGGCATTCGCGACGCATGGGTCACGGCGTGTGAAGGTGGAACTTGTGGTAGACGGGCGCTGGTGGACGAGGACAAATGTGTGAAATTGGCTTGACGTCAAGACCTGCCGGAACACACTTGTCGCCCGGGAATCAATGGCGGTTTCGCCTAGCTGAGATACATTGCATACCCATTGGCTGGAAACTCGAGGCCACATCGCTGGACATGTGTCCGAGCTCCTTGGGTTTCGAGTGGGCGCACGTCGCCAATCTGCAGACGCCAGCGGCGCCGCTTGCATTGTTGGATGGGTACAGCCTTTTTGCCAGCTGAGTTTCTTTTCTGTCGCGTCGCCTGGGCAGGTTCACGCGATTCCAGCGCCTCGCCCCGTCTACAGTACTTCTGCAGCCGGTAACAATGCTGGTCGAAATGGACTCCAAACCCCCCCCCTCCTCCCCCCTCCCCCCTCCCCCCGCGGGTGCGCCATAGCCACACTCGTTTCGCTACCGCCTCCTCGTTTGGCATGGATTGGGTCACGAGGCTCCCAAGTGTCCGCGAGAAATGATCACCGACATGGAAGGTGTCGCCAACAACAACATACCAAGGGTACAGTACAACAACTTGCTCGGGCTTGAAGGCTTACACTTACAGAAACGCCAGATGGATCAAAAAATCGGTTTATAATTACAGTACTCTGCACAAACAAAAAGAAACCATTTCTACATCTGCCCATGTTCCATCAAACCTGTGATGCCAAGAATTCTCGATGCCTCCTTTCATTGTCCGAGTGGGGAGGCGAGGCGACGGCAGCTTTATTTGGGTGTCGAACAAGGTGCCCCATGGCAGTGCCCTCTAGTGAGGCGACGGCGGCTTTATTTGGGTGTCGAAGAAAGGTGCCCCCCCCTATGGCAGTGCCCTAGTTGTCCTGCTGCCTTGTCTGGGTGGAACCACAAAAACAACACCTGTTCTTCAAGCCTGCATCGTCTCTTGCCAACTTGAGTACTTGCCCCCCATTGCATCAAATTTTTTTTTTTTTTTTTCACGTTCGCCCATTGTTATTCCACCGGGCCTTGTGCTATTACCCAAGGGTACCGTTTCATGGAACAACTACGTCACGTCTAATCCACGAGCAAGCCTCCCATGCATATGCGTCTAATCGGAGCCTCCGGAGATTTTTTTTTGTGTCAGAGTCATATTTTTCCTTTTGTGCACAAAAAATGAGTTTTGTCACGGAAATTCTTGGACACACAATGTGCGTCCCCCTACTGTATGCACGCTTTGTGCTCACCGGACGCCGACGATGACGCCATCAGAGCTCTAACTACAGAAAATTGGGATTGTACGCGCGCGCATTTTGGCATTGTTGTGATACACATTTAACCAAGCATGGGGTCGCCAGTCCGAGAAAACGGCGCGATATGTGTGCACAACGCGCCGTATGCGTGTCATAAAATCCCGATTTGGTCAACACACAATTTGCGATTGTAGGATTTCAGAAAGCCCCCAGTGTCTGTACGACCAAGCGTTATCATAACATATCCGAAGTTTACTTCTTTTCAACTTTGATGTCCGCGGTTTCTAGGTTTCTCTGGGAGGTTGACTCGTATTATAAATTCCCCAAGTTGGAACCGAATAGATAGCCTTCAAGGTAACGCTTCTATGCTACTAGTATAAAATTAGCTTAAAGAAAAAGGCGTACTGTAAGCCGGCCTTTTCTTTCCAACACCTTTCTATGCATCAACGAGTTGGTTGTCGCTAGACTCGACAAGCAAATGCTTTTAAACCTGTGGTGTCAAAAAAACACAAATGAAATCGCACTTTGGGTTGTCTAGAAAAAATAAAACAACTTTTGTCCTCATATGAGGACTAACTGTCTGATAGACACTTGCGGTCCTCTTTGAAGATTGTCCACCCCGATGTGCATGATGAGGCTAAACCGTTTCCGTCAAGTGCCGTAGAGCAATTGTCCACGGAACTGCTGCAGTTATCCCGGCAATACCGCATTGAACAGCTCCTCTACGAAAATGGAGAAACCAAATTGTTTTGCCGACACGTCAGCTATGAAAGAACATTAAGTCATTGGCCGTCATTCGCGACAGAAGACAGTATTTCTCGGTGTCTGGGTGTTGGGGCTCGGCTCAGCTACACTGAAAGTGGTGAGTTTTGGGAAAGTGGGAGCAGAGGAAACCATGCTTATACATTGACAAGCCACCGACAGTTCTTCTACATAACGTAACGCAAGAAGAAATAGGTGTCTTCACCTCTCAAGATGAGCTGGGGGATAAATAATGCAGCGCCTATGGAAAGGTTCAGCTTCATAATTCAAAAGACGGGAGTGTTACGGAAGAATACATGCAGTCGTACGGTGCGATATTAGACGACATACGGCCTCCTAAGCGTCGCAGAAAAATATTATGCCGTACGTGGAGCACCGCAGACGTACTTGGCTTCGATTAAAGTTTCCCTATTATCAGAACACACACACACACACACACACACACACACACACACACACACACACACACACACACACTCTCTCTCTCTCTCTCTCTCTCTCTCTCTCTCTCTCTCTCTCTCTCTCTCTCTCTCTCTCGTTCTCTCTCTCTCTCTCTTGTGGCGCGGCGGGGCTTGAGATCATCTTTATAATCTCGTTCCACCTCCACGGCATAACACGAAAGACCTCTACATAGATGCATCTCCCCATACTAGTCGGTTTTCAGATTTTTTTCCGTATGGCTTGTAAGTGTTGCCACTGCACACGGCGCTAAGCAGCGAACTGGCTGCAAGGGAATGGGCGACGGTGTTCGCATTTCTGGACGCGACGCGCGGTTGAGCGACTGATGGGGCGATGGCATTGCTTATACTGACGCAATTTGTACGCGAAGTGCAATACGAAAAGGCAAAGGTAGTAATGGTTTCTGCGTTGACAGCTGTGTTTTGATTTTGAAGCCGTATGTGTCGTAGTGGCGACAATTGCGGGGAAGTTTTGAAGTATACAAGCGCTTGAAGAGGATGAAGGCATGCATGAGGCGTTTAGGAGACCAATTTACGAAAGACAGGAGTGAATTTGGATCTTCTAGAAGAACAGAGAATCGTCTGGGGCACGGAAGCGGTTCTGTGAGGATTCGGTTTATATTTAAGCGCGTTGTTTTTTCCAGATGCTTCATTTCTGCGGCTTTAGAAAACGCGCAGGGGGCATCCTTACTCTGCAAAACTGCCCGCCCAAATGCTGGAAACGCTAATTTGTAGGTGGTACGCGTTTGGAACTAAGCAGCTTAAGCATGTTGAGGTTCAACGCATGGAAGTCGGTGACAAAGCGGAAGGGTCAACGTGTCTTCAGATCTGTACTGTAGCGGTGTGTTATACTGTAATACTGTAGTGCTTCTGAGGGCCAACCGGAATCTACTGTAAATCCGGTCAAAGATTTTGAATCCACAAGGAGGCCTTGGTCGTTGCTTACCTTCGTTCGAGCGCGCCTTTTCTTAGATAAACCATTTCGATGCTTCTACAGCATGTCGTTCACCGTCGGGCAATTCATTCCGCACTTCGGAAAGAGGAAGAAGAGCCCCACATTCTGCGCAAAAGCGGTCAGAGCAGCACATTGCTGTGATGTGCGCACATCGGAATCGGCCAGATGCGCCAACTATCTCTGTTTCACCCCGAACCGCAGCTTGGATCCGTACTATTTTTCAGACGACATGCGTCTCAAGCGTGCTTCTCGCATTTCCCCGAGATGAAACCCCTTGTGTCTCGACGCTGGACATTTCGTTGGGGTCAGTACTCGTCGATGGCTTTTCAGCTGGTGCGTCCGGGTTTGTCCGCACGGATTGCGGATCTAGGACCATTTCAAAGAATATCACAAGGCAAGCAC